AAAATGCTTGTCATTCCTCTGTAGCATCTGGTTCCCACTGGACCCTCATCATTTCCTTCACCTGCTCCCCCCACCGACCAAACTGTGCAGCTCTGCAACTGCATCCTGGCCCATCTTCACCCTTCTGCCCCCAACCCTCACCTCCTTGTACCCCCAATATGTTTTTCCCAATAAAAAAAAATATTAAAAAAAATAAAAAAGAAGGGATGGTAAACACTAAAACTATCCTATATTTCATATTCTAGATAAAAGGAAAATAAGAACGGTGTTTCTCTTTCTTAGGTAAAGTCAATACAAATTTAAGAGGCTAACAGAGATAAAGTAAATTTTGTATATATGCTAGAATTACAAACAAGAGAGAAATTTTAAAAAAAAAAAAAGGAAAGAAAGAAGCAATAACTTACCCATGGCATTTTTAGTATATTTTGAACAATGTCACAGAAAAGAAAACATAATTAAATAGGTATAGGAAAAAATATTTTAGGAGTAAGAAATAGTAGCAAGAGATGTGTAAAGAAAATGAAGAAAATTAATCAAATGCCATTCACAAGTGTTTGAGAAAGACACAGGGATTGAAATGGAAGAAGGAAATGAGGTAAGTGATGAAGGTAAGAGGAAATGAGAGAGGTGGCACCGGCCAAGGCTGAGCAGGCAAACTAAGAGCATTATAGGAAAATGAGGGCTATATTTTTACAAAAAATATATGCTTTACATAGGTTACTGAAAACTATGCAATGCCCTTGCACATTTGTTTCCTATGCACACTGCACATCAGTGCATTATATGCAAAAATACAGTAAAGATTCTTCAGTACAGTAATGTTTAATTATGGCAATTATTTGCTGAATTTAGTGAGAAACAGAAGTGAGCTATAAATCCTGGTTACTTTGATCCCACGCATTTTTAATGGGACAGATAATTACAAGACCTACCAAAAACATGGGAGCATTTCAAATATGGGGTGCCCACTCAGATCATTGGCAATGACAGCTGACAGACAGTAATTGTTTTTGACCCTGTACTTGGCTGGATTTCAACTAGTGACTTGAGTGACAAAAGGAATTCATCACTGTTCTCACCTATAGCAAAGGTATAGTGATTTTATTCCACCCAGTTCTTGTTGTTGTTGTTTGGTGTCTTCAAGTCAAGTAAGACTCATAGCAACACCATGAACAACATATCTGAACTCTGTCTTTTTCTGTGCCATGCTCATCATTTCTGACATACTCAAGCCCACTGCAGTAGTCATTGTCTCAATCCATCTGGTTGAGGGTCTTCCTATCTTTCACTGACCTTCTCTACCTTTCCAAGCATGATATCCCTCTTTAAGGAATAGCCTCTCCTAACAATGTGCCCAAGGAATAGTTGTTGTTGTTGTTGTTGTTGTTGTTGTTGTT